ATTTTCTCTTGTTCTCTTTTACTACGTTGTTGTAAAAATAGCATAAAGATTTAGTGCTGCAACAGGCTCCCAATACTTTACATTTTTAAGTCAATATATATAAAAAATCTGACTGCCTCATGCATTTATATAGCCAAGAGCACCACTAGCCAATCTCTAGGTTGACACCAGAAAAAATGACTACATTTTATTCTTCATGCTCAGCCAAAGTTCAGTGCTGAGCAAGTCGCTTCGGTTACAAGCAAAATAATTTTTTATTCCGTATTTACCTTAGAGGCTCACTCTTTGCAGGCATCACAGGAAGCAGGGACCCTGAAACCAGCACGATCTGGTGATGTGGAATCCTTCTCAGGCTTGAGGGCTAAATCACCACAGGCAAGTACTGCAGCTGCTACACGGCTCCTAATTTTACACTGAAGTTTTATTTTAAACATAAAGAACTTCTGGGGGAAGAGCAAGGCATTTATTGTTGTATAATTTTATAATTTTAAAGGTTAATACCTCAAGTTCTACTTTAAAAACCAAAATAAACCAAAAAGCAACCGACCGACCAACCAACCAACCAAAAAGCAACAAACAAACCAACCAAGACAACCCAAGCAACCCAACCCCCCCCCGATTATTAAACACTTAAAATCTTTGTGTCCCCAGAGAGGGACACAGGCGCTGCTTCCCCACACGCGGTGCCCCTGAGCAGCGGAATGCGGGCCGGGCCAGCCCTGCCTTCATTGATCTGCTCCCGAACGAGGGGCATCGTGAGGATACAGCGATGACACCGTGAGACACGGCGGGGACACATGAGGGACACATGAGGGACACAGCGGGGACACATGAGGGACACGGTGGGGACACATGAGGGACACAGCGGGGACACATGAGGGACACATGAGGGACACGGCGGCTCTGGCCCGTCTCGCCCCGTCCCGTCCCCTCAGAGCCGTGCGGGAGGGCGCCCCCTGGCGGCGAGCCCTGCCAGCGCCGCTGCCCAGGAACGACTCAGGCGCGGGGAGCTGCGACAGCGACAGTGACAGGGAATGGTCACGGAACTCAAGTGCAGATCCAACCAAAAAACCCCAAACGTGTCACATAAATTCATACCGAGTTACTTTATTTTTCACAATAATAAAAAATAAATTAGTCATAAACAAAAATAGTTAACATTTTTTCATCAAAGAGAAAATGTATACAATATGAAAATGATGCTGTACAGTTCTGGTTCAGGTACATTGCCACGGATATATATTCCTGAACGAGTCAGAAAGCAATCTGCCTATACTCTCCCCCTTTAATTCACTCAAAGAACTGGCTAATCAGAAAGTTTAGAAAATTGTATTATGGACTTACAGTATGACATATATACAAAAATATATATGTAATACTTGTGCTATAAAATTCCCTAAAAAGATGGGTTAGTATAATGAAAAAGCTGGACAAAATTTGAATGGTATATGTAAATAAATACATATTAGGTCCCTTTTAATAAAAAAATCTGCCTATTCTAAATATTTGAAATATTTTGGTGCAGTGGCTTGTTCCATAGACAGCTCAGAATTACATATTTCCCATAGACATCTTGTATTTACAAATAACAACAAAATAAGTTATAATAAAGTATATCCTTCTGCCAAAATCAATTATGAGGGTCAAGTAGACAATTTTATACATATTAAAAAAAAAGTTAGGGTTTCTTTTGTCTCCTATCCTTCCTGATCCTCTCTGTAGATCCTGAGTGACTATGATGGGACTTCACAAGCTCGTATGTACCCAACCCCCGCCAAGGCCACCGGTCACAAGAACCCAACATTGAAAAACAGCACTGAAAAACAGCACTGAAAAACAGGTCAGCAGCAATGACTTGCTGAAAGGTCAATGATTCATCAGAATTAAGCTCCCCTCTTCTCCAAGTATGGTGGTACTTATCTGTATCCAATTACAGTACATGGGGATATAGAAAACTGGGGACTCTCACTCCTTTGAACTTCTGGTTAGAAAAATCTGAGAAGCAAAGAACCAAATTCAGGTCCACTATGAATTCTCTTAAATGGAATTTTCTCCCTTTCCCCTGGTCTGAATTTTGCCCACAGTGAAACATTATTATGATTACAAGTTTGCTTTAAAATATATTGAAAATGTTTAGTGGGTGATTTTTCATTTCTGATGTAGAAATAATTATTTTACTCTGTTTTCTAAACAATGCCTAATTTAATCTCCCACAAACATTCTGTAAGTTTAGAAATAAATGAAGTTTACTTTCATGTTCAAAATGTAATGTTTTCTGTTCCAATTATAGGCATGCACATGAATTACCTGCCCAATACACAGAAGAGCTCCTAAGAAGTCAGAGACACTAAGCCTCAAGAAAACCAGGTGAACACATGGCTTTTCCTTTGTCAGGACTATAACTCTTTCTGTTCAGTAGATGTTACATAAGAGAATAAAGGGCCACTACAGACTTCCATAGCTGTGCAACCACAGGTTCACTGCACAGGAATTCAGTATGTCCTTTATTACTATGCATTTAAAACTAGCCAACACAGATATGCACAGACACAAAAATCCAGGGGCTGGCAAAAACACAGCTCTCTTAACAACAGCAGGGCTTACTTCTAACAGAGATTCTTACAAACCAAAGGCCAGTTCAGGATTTTCAGTAATTCTCACAAAGTCTTATGTTGTCATCCAAAGGAAAAGGGGTTGAAAGATAAGAAGGAGAGGAGAAGCCTTAATGTTGGTGTAAAAAGGTCAGGATGAGGACGGGAAAAAGCAAAGCCCTAAAAGGCACATTTTACTACTTACACTGGCACACGTTACAAAGAGAGGAGGCAAAGCCTCCTGTATGAGCCCTGTGTGAGCCACAGGCTGTGTGAGCACCTCCCTCAGTGATGACCACCGGCACTTCCTAGGACCATAGACTATATGACTGATACAAGACTGCACCATATTGCCATAAAACTGGGATCTAAGCAATAACATCAAATAAACACTGCTTTATTCATACACAAAGTTCTCCATTTGCTGAAGCATTGGGAAAAAGCAGGAGAAGTTTATGTGTGTGTTGAGGAAGCCCGCAGTTCCCAGCGCAGGGGGTCAGGGCTGGCCATCCAGCAGGGCTGGGTTTCAGGGCTGGCAGGCTGCAGCACACGCAGCTCTCCTGGGCTGCACTGCCCAGCACTGCCCGGCCTCCAACAAGCCCCTTCCCTACTCAGGGCCCTGGGGGCTGAAGGTCACAGACAGCAAAGCAAAGACTGTCTCACTGCTGGCCAAGTCAGACACATTCACAGGGTCATTCCCACACGAGCAACCCTCATGCTTCCACACCATGGGAGAGGAAGGGAGGACTCCATGAATTGAGTCTCTTAAATCTGGCGTGCATTTAGTGTCCACAAGGAATTCTACCTACACATGCTTCAAGATGACATTGCACAGGAGCTAGCAGACCCTGACAGGCCCTTGGTAAGTTAATAAAACAACTGCACCAGGAATCCTCCATTCCAAAAGCAAAGTGCTTTGAGACACAGAGACTGCTCTAAATGAAGCTGATTTTGGCCAGCTGCACATCTGTAAGACATGGAAGTTGTATGCAGATTTTACCCCATAAGCAGCTGGATTCTTTCAATAAAGTATCTAACTTACTCTGGTCTTCCCGGATTGCATAAGGCATCTTCAAGGCCAGGAAGCATTTTTTTCCACTGTTCTGCACGTTTTTGACTGATGTTAAAATGTCAGAAAAAAGAAATTAAAACATTAAAAATCTGAAGTCTACATAATTGATATTTGTAATTGATAATATGCATAATTTCTTACTTATACTGGTTTCTTACCTGCTCTAAGTCTTCTACATTCATTAAGGCCACCTTTGACTTAGAGAAAATAAAGTCAGATCCTCTGCAGGCATCATCCTAAGCTGGGGCACTGCTCCATTAGAACAAACACTTGCTACAGGCACAGTTTCAAAATCATGCTTTGTGAGATGGTGAAATCTTAGCACAGCACTTGTGCAGACAATACTGGTGTATCAAAGTTCTGATGAAAAGGGCTCATTAGTTCATTTTGCAGGAACAATACTGGTGTATCAAAGTTCTGATGAAAAGGGCTCATTAGTTCATTTTGCAGGAACAAGTATTTTAATAATGCTGACACATGAGAAGAGATGATAAATTACTAGGTTCAGCAGTACTCTGGCACTTTCCTTACCATTAGATATTTAATTAGATAAAACTGTATTTTTTTGTTTTACCTGGTACATCTGAAAAATGTCTCTTTACAAAAAAGGAAAGTACAATTTGTATAACCATAGCTCACTGCATTCAATTCACAAAGTTGTATATATTAGATGTAATACAGGGTTATACTGCTATGTGTATGTATATATTCTTTGACAGCTGTCACAAACACTGTTTACTTTAGTGGCAGCTTAACAGAGCCTACAAGATGATCATCTTTGTAAAATGAACTACTGGCCATACATTCGCGAGCAAAAGAACAGATTTTATAAAACAGGAGGATCTGTCTATGTGCTAAGTCACTGATGGTCTCACAGCCAAAGCATGTAAGAAGAATTTGTTCTATGACTGCAAACCAGATTCCCTCTGCATCTCATTCACCTCGGGGTTTTCAGGAAGCCTTTTTATGGAACAGGTTATTTCCCTCAAGCTCACAGGAAACATTTCCTTAGGACAAAAGAGACAACAGCAAAAATTATATAATGTATGTCAAGATTTGCTGCAATGAGATACACAGATGAAAATCTGTATTCAGAAGTACTTGATTCCAGAGCTGTTTACACTGCACTTTATCCATATCATTCTTTGGTCAAGGATCTAGGGAATACAATATGATAACAAATCCATAAGTTATCTTCATGGATAAATCTTTGTAATACAAGGGAACAGGAGGACTGTCAAAGATTAATGAACTTGAATTAGAAGATTCCTAATTAAGAGTTTCTGTTTCTAACAACTTTATGTCTATTATTTACAGTGAAAAAGCCCAAATCAAAGTGTACAGAAACAGCCAACAACATTTTTGGCGGATATACAACAATTTATAATCACAAAGAGTACCTCCAAATTTTGGGGGAAACACTTCTTCATTTCATGTAGCCAAACAGTAGTAGTTCATCATGTCCAAAATATACTTTTCAAGAATGACCAAATCAAAACATTCAGAAGTTAATCTCAATGCAAGGCAGCTTTTAGACTACAGGAATTCCACGTTCCCGTGGCTCCCAGCACACAAACTGATGTGACTGGTTTCACAACCAGCGACCTCCACTCCTACACTCCACCTCCCAGTGTTCCTGTCCACCAAAGCAGTAAGAAGAAAAGGATGCACAACAAGGCTCAAACATGGCTCTGCATCAGTGGCAGGATACCTTAACCACACCTCTGGGAGTGACTGAATATAGATTATTACAGGTGTTTTACAACTCGGACATAAGGCACCTTAGGAACAGATGCATAGATGGGCATCACTAATTTACAAGCAATATGCTGTAATAAACAGCTGAATAAGCAGAGGTGTTAATTTTTTTCCCCTCAGCCTTATTTACACACTTGAAAGACCTCTCAAATAAAGGCTAGAGAACATGCAGATAATGCAAAACCTCATCTGCACTGCATAGTATACTATTTGCTTTTAGCAAGTCTCAAGGCTGAGTACAGTAATTACAGAAATGAAAAATCACCATTTAAATTCAGCTCTAAGTCTGCAGCCATTCTTGAGTAATAGAAAAGGAGTGGTATGAATAGATCTGTGCAATGAAACATTGAGCAAAAAAAAGACAAATATGTTGTACTAATTGATCAAAACCTGAAGAATGTCAATAGCTAAGATCCTCTTTTTACAGATCCTCAGCTACTAGACTCATACTGCTGCTTGATACCAAGGTATAAGGCACACAGGCCACTGTCCTTTGGTGGTTGTTTCAGAAACTGGTGACATATCCAGACTAGGTCTGAACAAAGTACTTTGGTTTGGCACTTGTTAAACAATAGTGCAGAGACAAGAATTAGGCAAGATCCCAGTTCTGAAATAAGTCCCCGACAGAAGAGAGACCTCACCAATGGAAAAAAATCACTTTTTATACCAGCAAAGGCTCTCCACCTTTTTGGTTAACCTCACTGACAGCTGCAGCTGTTAAAGACTTAAAGAGCCAGACACTAGTGTCACTCTGGTAGGAAACGTATTTTAAAATCCATACAAAATTATAAAAGTGTATTTTCACAAGTTTATGAATTAAATATAAAGGCACCTTCTGGCAGTCAAGTGTGTATATATTTGATGCCTAAGGACAGGACATCAGTTAAAAGGACAACCAAAAGAACTTAACAGTGACTCTGATTTATTATGAATGGACTGAAGTAGTTAAAAATATAGAGTGCTAGGAAACTGATGATAAATGCTTTTCAAGGGTCCAGTTCTTTGGGAAGTCATTTTTCTCATGCACGTTTCATTGATTTAGTCCTCTAACTTAAGGCAGTCCAAAATACCAAGTAAAAGTCAGCACTCAGAAAATAATGGAGCAGCTGCATCCATACTGGTCAATTATCTCCAGTAATTGCCTGCAATTGATTTTAGTTTTCATTAATTTCACAATCTCAAGGCCACTATATTCCTTAAATAATTATCAGATGAGCAGGTGCAAATAATAGTATCATTAAAAATGAATGCTTTAAAAAATCATGATTTTACAACAAACATCTTAAAAGAGATAACTGCACAATAACTGTAACTGAAAGGGTGTGAGATTTAACCATAGTCTTGATGCACTCAGCAACACAAGCCCCATCTCTAAGAAGCTACAACTGCTGCAGTCAAAGCAGCACTGCTGAAGCTCCATGTGAAGAATGCCATTGCTGCTCTGAGCAGAGCAGGCTTTGTTATCTGTGCCCCAGGAAGCCTGGCTGTCTGTTGGCCACTCGGGTACACGAGGCACAGCAGGCTGTTTTGTAATAGGTGTACACACAGAGCCGGGCCTGAACCACCACGTTGCAGTTGTAGTATTTGTCCTTGCAGTTCTCATCTGTGGAGAGAAGGGAAGAGAGAAGAAACTAAAGAAAACAGTACTAGAGCAATAAAAAACCAATTCCCTTCCTTTTACCATGTAAAACCATTAGACCTGTATCTAAGCATTCATTGTCAAGTCAAAACAGATTATCTAAGGAAATAAGTTATATTATTTAGGATTTCATGTAAAGATACATAAAGCATGGAAGAAATGCAGCTATTCCCATTTCCTCAGGTTTTTAATATTGTTATCTTTAAGTATGTTGAATAATTCTCAACTGAAAGTTGTTGGAGACCATTCAGAGTTAAAACTGTCTCTAAATTCTTGCATCTTTCTCTTCCTAGCCATTCTCATTACTATAAAAATCAAATCTGTATGAGATGAATTGCTAATTCCAGTGCTAATTCCCTGTATTTACTGTATACAAAAGGAAACTGCTTCATTGCACTTAATACCTTGGTTTAATTTTGTTGGTTCTTATAGAACCTGCTTCCAAATACATATATATAATATATATATATAATGATACTCTTTTGTTTGTTTGTTTTAAATACTCTTAAATACTCTTCCAAGAGAAACCTTGGAGAATACAAGGAGGCTGCAGAAAAACACACTGTATGTGCCATTTTCACACAAGCAGATCTTTCACATTCTCAGCAATTTCAAAGAATAAGCTGGTTTCTTACACATTACAAGGAAAACATTTTTATTGGAAACCTAGTTTTAAAGCACAGAAAAGAGCTGTATTTTATGTAAAAATAAAACTCTGAACTCGATAAAGAAAATGTACTATTAAAGTCTCTGCAAGACTATAAAATAATTTCTCCACTAGATGGAGTTCCATAGTTAAAACAGACGTTTCCTCTGCCTTACCTATTTCAGGGACACAATCCTGTGTATTACACAGTTCCTTCTCTTCAGGTTTGAGCTGTGGGTCACACTGAGTACTGGCTGCCATGTCATCCGACAGACATCTCACCTCCCGAACCCGAAATCCTCCTTCGCAGGACTTGGAACACTGAAATGATTAAGCTGAAGTTCATGAAGACCATCGGAGATGAGTAATTACAGGAAGTAAACAGGGGAACCTTGATGCCAGACCCAGGTATCACTGCAGCCTTTTATCAACTTCCCCCTACTGGTTTTCATTTTCTACCTCTGAAGCCCTTACTATACAGGTAAAAATTTGTTAAAGATTCCCAAACATTTCTGGCCACAGGAGCAAAAACTGTACAAATAAACAGTGGATGCTGTGCAACTGAAATCAAGCTAGAACAGTTCCCTTTCTGAATTTAATATTTAACATCTGCTTCTTTAATTAGTCTAGTTGTTCTCTGCTCATTTAAATGTATCTCCCAAATCTACTCTTTCCACAGTGTTGCCATATCCTGCTTTAAGAACTTAACTGCACTGAGCTTTATTACTTGACTGCCCTGGCCTCCACTGTCCCTTTTGCCATTTATATATAAGCAGGAGTAATTTTAATTACCATTTTTTTCTAGCACTCAATTATTTTTACTTCTTACAGCACAGTGATTTTACTAAGCACTATGTTTCTTTGAATTTCTCAAGGAAATATTTCTGTGCTCCTTCAGGGTCTGTTATGAAGCCAGAGACTTTTGTACTTGCTTGTTATGGTACTTTTAAAGCCAATTATTACACATTTCTGCCCATACTGAAGCAAATCCCCATTGGCCAAAGATTTTGCCTGAGTGAGGTCTTTGAGATTTGGCTCACTGTCCAGTTTGACCTAATGCTCAAAAACTTAATTAAATCTGGATCATTTACGATTAAAACCTTAATAGCCCAAAACTAGAAAGAATGTTTTCTTTCTGGCTTTCTTGGCATAATTATTTATTTTCCTAACATTACATAAACAACTTATCATGATCATAAAATCATATATTGTAAAAAAACTAATTTTATGTCTCAATATTGTATTTTTAAACTGCTTTTTCATCTTTAAGTACAACCTTTACCCACATTTGAAAGGGCAGTCATGTGCAACAGGAACAGAACATGGGCTTTTCTAGAGTTACTCCTGCTACATGCCTGTATAGAATTCTGTAATTATTCCACATCCAGCCATAAGGACTTCAGGTCTGCAGAGATCTAAAGCATTTAGAATGGAACCAAGACTCACATCAAACTTCACACAAATCATTCTGAGGTGCATCCACATTGCAGAGCTGCCATTGGCAATCTGACCTACAGCTCAACAAAGGGGCCAAGTTACTGCATTCGATATGATGTCATCTCATTCTAAGATGACAATGGACTTTCTGATCCTCATTTAGGACAGAAATGTTGAATTTTTTTTTGGTAGAAAAACAAGAAAGTATGTCAGATATAGGAAATTATAGAAAGATAGATGAAACCAAAGTGTTTTGTGGCACAGTGGTAAATGTAGCTGCTCCACTTCCAGGGGAAACTGAAGATAAATGAAGCCGTACAATACATTTTCTCTCAGTGAAGTTCTAAGTATTACAGTGAAGAGTTTACAGTGAAATATTATGGTAAAACTGCCTCTAAAAATGAATACATCCCTCATTTTTTATTAAATGATCCTTAATTTTAATTAAATTAGAGATCTGAAAGGAACTTCTAACTGTACCACACTGTCTCACTGTAAGGGCCAAATCAACTTTAAAAAACAGGAAAATTTTATGAAGAAGACATCAATGCTAGAAAGACAACTGTGCAGTGTCTCTTTCTGGTCAAGATACTTCCTGAAGTTTCTGTGTTCCACCAGGCAAAGAGTATGCTTTATTTTTATTATCATTCCTGTGCAAAATTAAATCAATTTCAGGATGGGTGGCTGTATGCAAATGGTGATCTCTTTCAATATAAACAGAAAAAGATGTATCAAACAAAGTACAGATACAGGAAAACATGATAGACTTACTGTGCTCCATTCTGTATGAAACCACTTAGATCCACATGGTTTGAGGTAGCAGGATTGCTGGCTGGGAGGTTTTTCCAAATATGAACATTCATAGGGGTTCAAAACATCAAAATTACCTTCAGTTTTCCTAACACAAATGACTTCTCTCTGTTGAGTTCCACTACCACATTCAGTAGAGCACTGTATCAGAGAACAAAAACAGAGGGGAAATCTGTTACTCTTCTCATGTCCTTCGACTTGCTCACAACGTTTCTCCACATCACATGGTACCACAGACTCAAAACATATTTCTAATTATCTTCATGAAGAAGACATATGACTCTAAGTGTACTTCTGGAAAAATCACAAAGTGTAGTTTTACTTGTAGCTACAAAAAGAAACTGGCATTTATTTTTCTAATCAAAAGAGAAGCATAACTCACTTTCTCCAGAAACAGTTTCTTGCTGAAGCAGGATTGTATGTGCTGCACTGAACTTGGGAGGGTTATAAGGTTAGAACACAGTTTTGCAGCTTTACAAAGCCTCACATTCTGTGCTGTTTTTAGAAAATGCCTTGATCTGCCAAGGTATTATTTTCATGCTTGCAAGTATCTATGTGATGTAGTGTTGGTTCCAGTTCTGAAAAGCAAATTTGACTCACTTGGATTCCTACTGCCCATTTAAAGGTTAAGTACACACACAATACTGTTTCTGGCACTTGTAAAAAGGTTTTTAGAAGATGATTACAGCAACATATTGGTTTCTATGCTGCATAAAGGACTATGCTTTTCAGAAGGTTTTTTCCAGCCTAAACCAATGAAATGTTCTTAACACTGGGGATTTTCTTTATATTTTTGGTAGAATTTACAATCCCTTTACCAGATTCCCACAAAACTCTTTGAGCTAAATGAAAAACCTTAAGATAAATGCACCCAAATAAATTCTAGAGGAAGTACAATAACTGCACATTCTTTAACACAAAGTGTCTCTTTTAATGGTTCCTCCTAAAGGCACCATCTGAACACCCCACTTCAGCTCTGGCAGAGGAAGGGCAGCCCTCAGTGCTCCCCCCTGCTCTGCCCTACCAACTGCTCTCGTTTTGCTGGTAAAAGCCACACAGACCAGCCAGGACTTGGCCTGTAGAACTGATGCTGTCAGACACAGCTTTCAGATCAGTAAACACTTTGTACCCTTGTGTGCATCAAACAATTCAATTCCATGCTAAGAAAGAAGGTGAATTAAAAGAACGGTCAGGATGCTCTGACTGAACACCTCTCCAGTGCAGCAAAAATGGGCACAGAGTTCCTATTCACTGTCTAGAGGAGTCTGAGTAACAAGGCCTGGATTTCATCTGTTATTAGAACTGCAGATAAAGATTTTTTAAATCTGAATTTGTTATTATTGTTATACATATTCTTATACACAATAATTATTACTTACACTTGAAAGCATTACCATAGTAGTAGCCCTGTAATCTCCCCCTCAGCTGTACGAGTTTAATTTCCAGCTCCTTATCTCCTGGAAGGACTGTGGGATCTGCAGTGCAGTGAGTTAACAGCACAGCTCCACCAAGTGCTGGCACCAGCAGCCCCAAAGGCTCTCCAGGCTATGCCAGAGCCTACACAAAGGGACATAAATGCCTGCCATGAGTTAACAGCTTCTGAAATGCTTTTGTGCCTGACAGCAGGAATGTTCATTGGTAACAAGAAGGGCTTTTAGAGGTGGATGAAGGGAAGAATTTATTTTGAGGAAAGAGTATCAGTATAGAGGCCACTAACCAAAATTTGTTCTTTTGCCTATTGCAATGACTTTCAGTACAATAATTCCAAAGCTAACTTTTGGATTTAGCCATTGCTTTTTGCCTTCTTTATCTTTTGGAAATTTCATATACATACGTATGTAGGGGTATCTATCTCCCTGCATTTATGCGTGATCACAAATGCTCTACTTCAAGAATTGCAGATCCATTGCTTTGGTGTCTACCTAAACATGCTGAGCAGCATTCTGTCACCATTCTTTTCATAAATACTGGGTCAATAGGTGAAAAATAAAAAATGAAGATGGAGAGAAGGACAAGAAGTACAGTTTTGGTTTTTTTCATCAAAGTAAAAAAATCCAGCAGATGCTGAAAAGTATTGAACATCAACTCAGTAAAATACAGGAAAAAATACCACAATACTCTGGAGAGATGAAGAAATACCTTATGGCACACATCTTCATTGCATCAAAACACAAGCTTATAAGTAAAATACCAGGAGAAAAGCAACAAGATATGTTAGGTTTGGCTCTTGCCTTACCTGTGTCCAGCTCCCAGCAAACCAGTCCACCTTGCCAGCGCAGGGCCCGTTATTGCAGGCCGTGCTCTCCGCGGGTCGGTTGTTGCCGCAGCCCTCCAGGGGCAAGCTGCTGACGTGGTTGGTCATGCACAGCACGGAGCGCGTGCGGACGCCGTCCCCGCACTCTGCCGAGCACTGCGAGCGAGAGACACAACACGGTCACCGGGGAGCGCCACACTGCACCAGGGAAGGACAACTCACTGTCCTGAGACTTAGTTCATTCACACAAATCATTTTTACTTCTACTTCAGCTGCAGCAAATTGTCTTACAACTTCATACTTCTGAAAACACTACAAGTAGTACCTGTCTGTACAGTCAAAAATGAAAGGATTAGCTAAGAAAGAAATCTTTTGGTTTATTGCTTTTTGTTAGCTTTCTTACTTTTCTTTTCTTCTTCCTGTCCATAAATTCTTCCACTTTTCATTATATTCATATTTTTCACACTAATTAATAGCTCTGAGAACGGGTAATTTCAATAAAAGGCTTTTCAGACAGCAGTCCTATTGCAGCCTTTGTTTTGCTCTCCGAGTTTCTCCTCCAAGTATTCACAAGCTGTCAGCCAGGTAGATCTTACACTGGCTGAAAGGACAAGGTTAGGAAGAGTCTGAAGGCTGTGACACTGGGAGTAAAGGGACTGTACAGCACATCCTGGAACTTTTCCATGTAACAAACTGACAGAGTCTGACAGCACAGTAAAGCAGAAAAAAACAGAAATTCTTTTGACAGGTAATTTTAAAAGATTCAGGTAAATCCTCAGTAAATAACTGCAACTACCACGAGTTATTGCCCAGCCTGTTTCAACTCTAAATCTAAATTAGTTTTAGAAGAGGTGGCCATAGAAGCTGATGTCCATTCAGTGTTGCTTCTTAATGATATGACTTTCCAGTAACTAATGTTCACCATTCTCAAAGTTACACTGCTAAATTCTGAAAGTTATTACTAGATGGTGATATGCAGATTCTTATGTCACCTATTCAGAGACAGTATGCCTGTCATTCACCAATCACAAGATAAATTCCATTTATGCCCTTAGTTTGCTCTCTCATCTACTGAAGCAGGGAAGTCTCTGCTATTTCACTGTCTTAAGCAGCATCAAACTACTGACTTTTAAAAAACAGAAACATGCCAAGGAAATAAAGTATCGTGTTTAATTGTTCCTTTGTTGCTTAATTATTTCTTGATATTCCCTTTTGTTTTCTGTTAAAATGTATTTGGCATTCTGTGTCCAGATCATTAACATAAAAGAAAAACCTATGTGCAGCTTACTGAAAGATAGGTATATAATGGAATCCAAACAAAGCAATTATATTGCACATGCAAAGAAACCCACAAATAAGTATGTAATATATGACATTAAAAGATGCATTTGATTTCTATTTCAGATTTTACTTTTAACATACAATGTAATTAGGAGAAACTGTATTACTTCCACAATGTGCACCACATTCCTTGTGAATGAATATAACTCTGCATTAGAACATTTTACAAATTTTATTAACTACGAACGAGTCAAAAAACTGGTAATGAAACACAAAGTTGACCACTAACTTGATTTAGCTGCCATTGGTAACAGTGTCAGGGTTCACTTCCAATAGTGCAGCTGCAAAGCAGCAGATGCCATGACAACACCACTATTAACAACAAGACCAACCAATACAGGCACTCATCTTCTCCAGAGATCAGTGACTGAAAAAGCAATTGATTGCAAACTGCTCTTCACTCACTTGCATGGAGGAACACTGGTTACTTGTGTGAAACATGTACTCATGTTACACTTATTTCACAGATGCAGAACAGAAAACCACTTTTCCTATCAGCAAGCTGATTTCACACAATATGTTCAAATGGAATAGCAAAGCTTTACTGAAATGGAATACCTAGAAAACTAAAGAAGTGATTCAACTCTTTAGAAGCAATTTTTCTAACAAAGTATAATTTTTGAAAAGCTAGAAATTCAGGTTTCCTCCTCCATCTGGCAGGATCAAGTAATTAAACATCTCTTAAATGATGCCTAGAAGTAACATAATGAACCTTTTCTGTCAGTGGTGCACAACAAAATTTTCCATGTTCAAGCAGGTATGAAAAATAGATTTATCTCCTCAGCAAACCCATTTCACGGCCTTTTCAAGGTAAAGTGGCAAAATCTTGAAAATACAAGAATAATGTACATTGTGCTAATAGTGAACATTTTCCTGTTCATATAAACTATAACTAAACTGCACTCATTTCAGACAGGCCACTCCCAGGTGAGTGAGCCCCACGCTGTGGCTCCCACTCCAACCTACTGTGTGGAAATCAATTCTGTTCCCATTCCAAGGGTGTTCAATTACATTAAGCAGAGAGAACTTATGCATATACTCTACAAATTCTTTTCTTATTGCTAACTAATTTTCATTTGACAATCTAGTTTGTTTTTCTGCTTTGCAAACCAGAGCTGGGAAAAAATTTAGTCTGTAAAGTCATCCAGAAAATCCCCTTAGTCTTATGTTTTAAATGATTATGTTAGGAACTAGGCTTGCAAATCAAATAACAGAGGAAATACCAAATGGGAAGGTATAGGGTTGTTCCACTCTCTGCTGCAAGATTTTACTACAGATTAACTATCCTCTAAGGATTTACAAAGCAAACTTAAACCTGAATGTTTCTCATTATGTATTTGTCTTTTCATGTTTTTATCTCCTTTTCAGCAAAAATCTTCTCTGTGAAAATCATGGATTTTTAATGTCCAGGGCAGGGAGTAGGGAGTTGGATAATGAATCCTCTCCCCTTCGTTTTCACAACTGACACACCCATTACTTTCAGTTTGGTGCCATTGATTCGCTGCATTAATACACAGTAACTGCCATAACCTAACATTGTGAAACATGAGGAACTTTCACAAGCTGCAACTTTATTCTGGTCCTATTATTAAAGATATTTTGTTTCACAGTCTTGTTTTAATTGGCACAGATTCCTCAGAAACCTCTGTCTGTGTTTTAAGGAGTCTGCCATTTTTCCTCTTCCTGAGGTCCTTTCCTCATGAGTTCAATTTCAGAAGCTTTCCATACCCATTAAAAACTAAAAATAAAATTCCTCATTCAGAGCTCAGATAGTTGTCGGAAAACAACTGAGCAGCAGTCCAGGAAAATAAGGCAAGTTCCTGCAAACTTGGAAAACTGTAAGTGGAAGCCTGAATTTTTGTCACAGCTACAAGACAAGAGTACAGCAAAAAAATCCCTTTTAGCAGTATCAGTTTCCCTTCACTAACGTGCCAGCCCTACTCATTACCCTCAAACGGGGCAGCAGACCACAGGAAAGTGGCAGCAGGAATTCTCTTGGGCCTCCAGAGAGCTTTCACATGGGTCTCAGCATCACTGCTAGCCTTAATTAAATTTTTAAATTACAACCAATTGAGTTTGAGTGAAACTACCCCCATTTGTGCAAGATTTCTGTCTACCACACTTTTAACCTTCATCACCTTAATTACTTCCCACAAGATAGTAAAGACTTTTATCAGTCATACTCCTGATATTCCTGCAAAAGAAAAGAAAAATCTATGTCTCAAATACATTTATAAAACTCCTCAGCATTATTTGACCTACTCTGAGAAAATCCATTTCAGAAGGGATTTTAGACAGATTATGTAACCTTTGTTTATCCAATCATACACTCAGAATTTTATTTCAGATGATCTTCTGCCACAGCTCCAAGACTGGGGCAGATTTGCAAAGGACATAAACTCACTGAGAGCTGCCTTGATTTCTTAAAAAAGAAAAAGAAATTAAAAGGGAGTGTAGGAAGAAATACCTTTTTGACTGTCAAACCATTTTCTGATACCTAGATTTAAACTGTTTCCCTGTAGAGTGCAGCTATGCATAGAGCAGGTGCTGGATGAGCCCAGCAGTTCCATGGCATCCTTCCAAGGTCACAGCACCAATGGCCTCTGGAGTCATCAGCAGCAGGGAAGAGCTCTTCACTGCTCTGGCTCACACTGTGGCCCCCTGCCAGCACTGCCCAGGGCCCGAGGGCACCAGCACATGGAAGGGGCCCTGCCCAGCCTCACCTGGCCCCAGGCACACCCTGCCCGTGGCCCTGCTCCATCATTCCCTGCCCAGGCTTCCTCAGACAGGTGCCTTTTCCCAGCCACAGCCTGCACTTCCATGATCCCTCCCCCTTGGACTCACTCTGCAGCCTGATCCTGTCCTGCCTCATTCCCACAGGCCTGCCCAGGGTCACTGGGCTGTGTCTGACTGGCTTCTGTCCCTGCATGGACTTCTGAGCTTCATCCTGCACCTGCCTCGTCACTGCCATCTTGCCTGACAGCCTGGACCCTGTTTGCTCCCTGCCTGCCACCCTCCCTGCAGCAGTGGGCCAAGTAAAGCCAGGCAGGCTTTAGGGGCTGAACTGAGGCAAAGAGCAGGTCTAGAGATGGAAACACAAATCTCTGCAGACCTTGGCCACCCTTCTATCAAACCCTCCTGGCTGTGTGTTTCATGGTGAATTATGAAGTGAGCTACATATTTATACATAAAGAATGCAAACCTTATGTTTCCATATGAATCTCACATGAAATCAATGAAAAAGGGTGTTTTATCTTGTTTTCATTTTATACTAAAACAAATAAACACTCATAATAAAAAATAATGAACTCTTGCACAAGCGTAATGTTGATTTTTATTTTTTTCCCCAAGATTCAAGAGATTTTAAGTGAAGTATCCAGATTTAAGTAAAAAGAAGTGAAAGAAGAGTGTAAGCTACAATATTAATTTGTGGTTCCACATTTGACTTGTCAACAAACTCGCTTGAACCTTTTAGGCAATATTTAGAATTGAGAGGAATAATGCATTGCTTTTTATGAAGTTCTCCTTCTACTACAGTTCTCTTGCAGATGATTATTACAGAAGCATTGCTGTTACTTCTAACGAAGAGTGAAATCCAGAGCATGTGTTTGGTTTGTTTTGATTATGTTCCCTGATGTGCAGCGTTTTTTCTTTCTTCCCAAGATTTTATTTTGGCCGCAGAATCTCATTAACATCTAAGAATTGTTTGTATTTTGGCTTCTTTTCTAAGTAGGCTCTAAACATAAAATGAGAAATAAATGAACAGAGGAGATGGCAATGAGGAATAAACAAAAATGCAGGAGGGAAATGCTCCAGTTAGCTGGAAGGAAACATTGGTGAGTCTCCCATTGCTGTAAATCAGGAGATTGCAGTTTCCTGCTCCTGACCCACAGGAGAAATAAACTTTCCAGCAATTAGAGCTGTCAAAGAATCAGTCATGTGAAATGTTCACAAGAATCTCATCTGCTCCCATCAATCCCATTTTGTTGCTAAGTTCAGTAAGGTTCACCAGATTTACTCCACTGATTAATGGACACTGCTTGGTGGAACTCTGCTTTAATGCAGTATGACATCGTTAGAGAATTATGAGACAGGAAGCAATCTTTCTACAAATGCACATAAAAATATCACAAAAGTTTGTCCAGACTCTCTATAGGCAGAAGAGGTTAAAGATCATATAGAAGTGAAAGCCATGAAACTTAAGTTAATTGTCTTATTTATGCTCAAGATAGAACAATAAATGCAAAGACAGGCACAAAGTAAGACCAACCAGTCTCACTTTGCTACTACAGACTTTTAACCTGTAATCTCTTCCATTGAAATGAGCAAAAATTTCTGCTTCTCTCAAGACTGAGCCAGGGGGATACCAATAGATGGTGTTTAGACCTACTCCCCATATAAGGAACAAAAGTATATACTTTTCAGAAAAGAAGTGTTTGTTTCCTAAGAATGAATTGCTTTCCCTTCCTTCCTTTCCAGAGTGCACAAGGTGGCCACACACCTCATAAGCTTTGCAGGTAAACTGTTTGTGGAACATACACTCAATGGACTCTGATACCTGTTTTGATCAAAATACCACAAATCAAGAACTGCACTGTCTTAGGAACATGAAGGGGTTTTAAATTACAAATATAAAAATTCAGTGTGTGCAGAAACCAGCACCAAGGAGGTCGATGCCATGGGGCGAAACAGGTGGCCCATAAAATACATAAATACTTTGTGGGAAAACAAGACTGGAGAACACGGCAAGAAGGCAGCCAAGTGTTATTTACAGGGTAAAGCAACATACAGCCCACCCTGGGAAGGAAACACAACTCCTACACACTAATTTGTATGTGCTATACAGATTTTTTAAGTGCACATATGTAATACTGCTGAAGTCGCTTTCAGGGAAAAGCAATGCTATAATCATCTAGCTCAGAACCACAGAAAGTATTAATTGATCATACAGGGAACTAGCATGATTTCCACATCAATTAAAACTTTGCATGGTCTCAGTAAAATAAGAAAACACAAAATACTTCCATCATTCCTAAATCAGACTACATTCTTTTTTTAGAACAGTGTTAAAGAATACCCACGTCAAATTCTGCACAAATATGTACCACAGTTATCAAATCCTGAAATTGAACATCTGCTGCCAGCAAAGACAACTGTAATTTTTATGTTGCTGTCTTATTTTCTTGCTATTTTGCTGGTTAACCAAGGCTACCTTGTAATGGCCCATGCATCCCCTCAGTCCAGACAGGGAAGTCTGATCTATCCCTTGCTGAAAGAGGAAGTACATGCCTAACCAATCTCTGACAGGCTTCTGGAAATCTCTACTTGCTGCATGTGCAACTGTACACATGAAGTGTTTGCAAAGTGGTTCAGAAAAAGCCTTCTCTTCCAGCTGTAACTAAGTTTGAACTCAACCATTTCAAAGTTTCAGAAGTTATGATAAGTTCTTTTACCTCTTATTTCTAGGCACGGCTGAAATGTCAAAATACAATGGGAAAGACTGTTCTGTGGTATTTCCAGCTGGGACTTGAAGTAGGCATGTAATAAATCTCACAAAGAAGGTCTGTTCTTGTGAGATTTCCACCACAGTTTTGCAGACTCAAGAGGTTTGAACAAGGTTTTTTAAAGCATTTGAACTTTTGGCTGCTTATCTGAACCATTTGTGGCTGCCCATCGCTGATCTATGCTTATTGCTGAAGTGTGGCTTGGCTTAAAGTACTTTTTAAGGAATTGTTTGGGGAAATGACACATGCAAAGCCCATATACCTGGGAATGACTGTTTCCATTCCATGACAGAATTCTTCTTTCAACAGAAACACACTCCTCTACAACGGAAGAGGAATTTCTGCTCCTAGGATGCAATCCTTTCAAGGCACAAGAAGACAGCTAATGGCCAAAGGCCTGACTTTGCAAACCTGTTCACTGCTGTTGTATTTCACTGCCTGCCATGGAATCACTGCCCCCGAGCGTCTCAACATCCGAGTTATGAGGTGTGTGTCAATCTTAGGAGATCCTGCATGTTCCACCTCAAATCAACTTTTTTCCTGAAATAAGCTGTTTCTTACATCCTCTTTGTGAATCAAACTCCAAACCCACTCCTGGCAGAAGTGATGATGAATAATGCCAACTACAGTAGCAAGCATTTGGAAGAAATTAATCTGTGCACTTATATAAACTGAGAAGGTAACAAAATCCATTCTTTACTTTCCAGCCCTAAAAAGTTTGTGGTAAGAAAAAGAACTCCAACATTTTCCACATTACCTGCTTCACTTCTACGTCTCATTTAACACATATAAATAAGCATAATAACATTCTACAGTTAAAACCTTCTGCTCAAAAGCTGCTTTTAATTCTGAATAATGAAGAGAATGGTGCTAGAGTTTACACTGCAGTGTCTGTGCTTTATGTGGTGGAACAGCACTGGGCGATAGCAGCTGGGCCACATGATATATTTGAGGGTAGAATGGATTTAACAGCACTGTACAAAGAACTGAACAATAAGGAAAAAAAAAAGGCAGGGAAAAATAAAAAGCACTGCCATTTCCCTACAGCAAAATCTTTGCCCTTTGCACTAATATCTCTGCTTTATTTATTGGACCAAAATACCAGGCTTTTCTTAGCCCATGTTTTTAAGTCTATTAATGAAAGCATATAAATATCACCACTGAACAACTCTGAACACAATCATGAAACAAGTTAAATCACCACTGGTTTTACTGCTTTCATGCAGAGAATCTGACTCACTGGAAGAAAATTAACCCCAACATCCACTTTCACAAAATACAAGAGCCTGAATCAAGCCTGCCTGAATTTATGAAGTTGTTCCCCTCTTTCCACACCTATGAGATAACTGGTTTATGGATTGAACATAAATCCAGACAACAGGCCTCAAATCTGTATCCCTTAAAAAAACAGTGGGGAAACTTTTAGGAGTCTGAATCTTGAGACTCAGCACTAAGCAAGGAAGAATAATAAAGCTCAGCACACTCAATATTTTGCGAAGTTCATACTCAGAGCCAATTCTAAGTCTGGACACTTCGCCATGTACCCACAGGCTTGCCCTTTCTAGGCATTTTTGTATCTTAACACAAACTCAAGAAGTCCTTGGGACCATTATTGTTTTGTTTGCTTTTGCCTGTTTAAAAGACCAAGAATAAACATGGAAAATACGATTACTCCTTTTATGGCTGTACAGATGTATATTTTTAAAATTCTGATGCTCTTGTTTTAGAAAGTTTGGCAGGATAAAGATACTGAGAAGCCTTACCCTGTCACTCCAATCTGTAAGGAACCAGCTCTTGGCACAGGGGCCCATGTCGCAGTTCTCGATGTCATTTGGCCGCAGTTTCATGTTACACTCCTCATCATCAACAACGTCCCCGAGGTTGCTGACACACTTCACATCTCGAGTTCTCTGCCCCACTCCACAAGGCACTGAACACTGTGACAAAAGGGAGCTTGTGTCAGGACTCTGTGCAAGGACTGCAGTGGTTTACCAGGGAGCTGGGCCATACAGTTCATTCATTCCTGCTAAGACATCTTTCTGGTTAGGAGGCTGATGGTCACAGTCAAACAGGAGTTTATTGAACTACGATTTGCTTATTTCCAAGGCTTTTAATATTCCACTTGTTTTAAACAAAACCAAACGAATTGATTTGATCAGTGATACCTGGAAGAAAATTTGTGTTCTTTCTAAGGTATTCTGCCCCAAATGAATGGATGCTACTTACTGAGGTCCACTCAGTCCTGATCTGCCACTCGCTGCAGATCTTGAGCTGGCAGGTGCTGGTTGTGTCAGGTTTCTCCAGGTGCTGGCAGCGGTACTGCTGCACTGTCAGCGTGCGGTTGGCGTAGATCTGCCGGCACAGGATCTGCCGGTGCTGCATTCCCAGCCCACAGGTTTTGCTGCACTCAGACCACTCCCCTATATCCCAGCTGAAGTGGAAAAAAAAGGATACCTTTGTTCCACAAAGAATTCTCTAACACCGATCTTATCAGAACTGGAATGACATGATTCTGATGCTGGTCCAGAATCCTACAAAACCCCACTTCAGTCTCTGTGTGTGCAACAATCCCTTATGGGGCACCATCACACACTTGTTTACACAGCCTTCCTGCAGAGACTGGGAATAATGAGCATGGATACAGATTGCACTACTCATAGTCTCAAGACACATTACAAATGTTACTTAAGCCTGCAATAGCTGCTTGGTTTTTAAAAGAATCTGTCTATAATATATATTACTGCTCTAATGACACTTCCAAACAGTTTAAGATGTGCTGCATAAAAGTTTTCTGCAGCAAAGGCTCTAAAAAAGACCAATAACACAAAAATCATGAAATACATCCAGGCATTCATTCTTTTACATTATTAGAAACTTCCCTGGGATAAGGAGTGACCACTTACTGCTCAGAAGAGAACTGAAGAGTACAACCACAAGAGAGATGGAAAACTGGCCTAAAACAAAGTTGCTCTAATGGCAATTGGATTTAACACTTTTCTCTTCTTGGTATAGACCCTGGATGAACTGTCCTTTTGGATGGTTTTTAAATTTTTATTTATATTTTTAATTTTTGAGTGTTTCAACAATTGCAATTCACAGCAAGTGTGATTCAGAAAGAAACCACACCTGAGCTGGTTGTATCAGTGTGCTGGAAACAAGGACCACCACCTCAGAACCAATTCTTGGAGCCAAAGGACTGCTCAATTCAGGAAGAGAGGTGAATGTACAAGGGGGCTATTGTGAGCACTATGTCATCTTTAAATAAGGGAAGTATGGCCACTATAGCACACTGATCCCATGTGGAGTGACAGAACCTGCAGACCCTCTTCTTTACACAGGCATATGCAGAAGCGTCTCACTTGAAAAAAGTGTACCCACAGAGACCACACAGATTGTGTCTGCCTGAACAATCACACACATTTTGAGAAACTGCTACACTTACTCATTTCCAGGTTCCCTTTTGTCTACTCTGCATGCTATTGCCCCCTGTGAAGGGCAAGAAAGCCACCAACAACTATGGAAAAAAAAATTCACTAGAATTGACAAGACAAGTACACTATATTTAGAAGTTCAAACGACTTTCCTACTTAGAACAGCCTCTTTAACATGCAAGATCCCAATGATATTGGCTTATTTCACTTGACTTAAATGATAGTATCTTACAAAGCAGGGCATGGGAACAGGTTGCAGGCCTCCTCTTCTGGAATGGGTTTGGTGCTGCTGTCACAGTAACCCTCAGGTACCTCCTCATGAGTGATTCTGTTGACACAGTGGAAAATTGGGTACTGTGATCCTGAAATTAAACAGACAATTAGGTAAAGAATTGCAAAAGACTCCACAGCAATAACAGCAGCATCCAACACTTTTGCAGAAAGAAAAAACGTAACCCGACAAGAGGAAATACAGGCAAAGGTTTTATTCAAAGTTTCCAAATGTGAGAGCTCACAGGATGCAGTAGCAGTTCCCACACTGCCCAAATTCCAGCAGATCTATTTGCTCAGTTATCTTAAATGGAAATCTAGGAAAAGAGTTCGTGGCAGTTCTCCTGGGAAGCATTATCACTTTGTAAAAAAAAAAAAGCTAAGAGTCTTCTCTCTAAGCCAAAGTTTTACAAACGTGCTTTGAAATCTCACAAGTTTTCATCAAAACTGTTAATTTCGCCTCCCTTTTCCTTAGGTAGCACAAAAATAGCTTATTTTTTTCTTCTTGCAGCTTGGAATTTCCTACGGTTATTTAACTTTGGTGGATCATAAATAAATAATTAAAAACTGTCATCTACATTTCTGCATGAAGAACAGAAGTAGAAGAAAATGGAAAACATAGAGGAAAGAAAAAAGCAGAAAGTGTTCTATACTGAATGATGCAAAATGAAAACAAATCCTTAAGTAGTACAGATTCTTTTCCTGATTTTTCCACTCCCTTCTTTGTCCCTGTATCACCTAGTGTAGCTTGAAAAGCCTTAGGGCCATCAGAGAGTCACATCTCACACTAAGATCACAAGAATTGTTCATGGAGTCTCAATAGTCTCAGGATCCAGCTCTCCAGATCCAGTTTCTTTTCAATTTAACTTAATCAGAAATTGTACACATTTTTCATACAATGGGAAAACAGACACTTCTGGCAGTTCTGTTGCTAAATTCCATGGAGTAAATAGGAGGCTGAAATTATTTTTTTTTTATTTTTAATTTTTTTTCTTAAGTCGTACAGTTTTGCTATCTTCATTTTTAGTCAGATTTCATTAACACCTCTGCCAAGAGTGACCAGATCTCTGTAGAAAGGACAAGAACTATGTGCCATTGTTGATAAAGGCCATGGCACACACAACCAAAATTTCTATGATGGACAGGAAGAATACATTTACCTTGATGTGTTCCTACTGTTGCACCATAAATTACTTGATTTGGATACTAAAATTCACCTTGAATATGGGAATTCAGTCACTCATTAGTTGATACAGACTGATTGCTGCTAGCCAATAATCAGACACAATTATGGATTCTGCCTCTATGATTTGTAATAAAAGCACAGTGTGCTTAAATGCCAACTAAAATGTTTTTCTCCACAAAAGGGCTGACTTAAAGAAGTCTGAATTTTACTGGCTGTATTTTAGCTCTAGTACTTTTGCAGTAATTTCTCCAAAGAGAATTTTTTTTTTTTTTTTTTTTGGCCTTGGACCAAATTCACAAAGTGTTCTCTCCAACTAATTAAGAAGCAAATGTTCTACATATATATGTAGAACTAGTGACAGTCAGCTGAGCTCCCACACTGGTGCATGTTTATTTTAAATCTCTAAAGTTTTATGGGTATGGTAGTGGGTGGCTATGCATAGTACAAAAGATTTCACTTTTACCATCACAAAAACTTATTCTTCCAAGTAATTGCTTGTGTTCTGCATTATTGAATCTGTGGTCACTGTGAATGTCTGGCAGCAAAGTTTAACCTTTGCAGAATATGCAAGCAGTATGCACCACTTCCCAAAAGTTCACCAGGCCCTTTCCATCCCTTCTCCTTCCCACTTCTTCCCTGTTAAACCTCAGATTTCTGAAGTCACATCAGTGCTGCTCCAGCAACATCCAATGAGACAAAGATATGTCTGATGAAATGCCTGTGAAACCTTCCTGTGAGGATGAGAAAACTGTTGACAAAGACACAAAAAGCACGGTGGGTGTATCTGACAAAGCTGGAGAGGCAAAAGGGAATGATAAAGAAAGCCAAAGAACGCTGAGGAAAGCAGCTGTGTATCAAGGGTATGGGAGAGAGCAGCTTGCCATAAATGCTGAAATATTTCCTTTCAGAGGCAAATGTCATATGTTTCCTTATAATTTCCATGCTTTCTATTTCTGATTTTGCTGTTTCTACTGATTTAAATATAAGCACAGGTAATAGCAGTGACATGACTTTTGGTCATAAGAGAACAGAGAGCAGCAGGTCTAACAATGGTTTGTGGATACACAAAGCACTTACCCTTCCCACAAGTCGTAGTGCACTCAGTTTTTCCAACCTGTTTCCAGTTGTATTCTCGGTTTTGTCTTGGTGGTTGCATAGCAGGCACCTGGTTTTCTGGCTGATGAGAAGGAAATCTTCCTGGCTGAATAACTGGAAAAGTTCCAGCTGACTGTCCAGTGAGAATGTCTGTCTCTCTATGCAAATCCTCATCCTCATGACTTGTACTTTCTGGCATTCCTAACTGACCATTAAATGGCTCCCCTGATGATGGACAATAATAGAAAAGTAAAATAATGAGCCTCACGTGAAAATATTAGTCCATGTTATGATTCTCTAATAATTAGAACTGGAGAATCACTAAACTTGGAAGCAGCTTTAATCTGCTATGTAGAGACTGCCTAATAGTGACCTGCAAAGACTGTGTTGTTTTAAACTTAGATAACCAAGCCTTAGCCAGCAAGTACATTAAAAACTAAAACCTGAAGAATTTCTAAAGACAATGTAGAGTTAACGCACCCAGTGTCAAAATTTCCCAAAACATTTTTGTTTTGTTCCATGCTCTGCATTCTGTGCCTCTCCATGTCACAGCACAGCTGCTCCTCATTATGAACATACCAAACACTCAGAAATTTGTCAAGCAAGTCACGAACATGAAACGAGGACCAAATTCACTTGCAAAGTTTCTCCTGTCCTTTAGAACTTCCTAGGAGTACACACATCACATACCCACAGCTCAGGCAGGAGCTGCTCAGATTCTTGCTTGGGAAGAGAACACTGCTCAGTTTGATCCTCTCCAGTTCCAAGAGGAAAGGGGAACTGCGGAGGGTTGTTTTAAATTATCTCAAAAAGAAAAAGACTCTGAAAAGAAAGATCATGTTCTGCTTCATTTCTGAGATATGGTTACAACACTCCTACTCAAAGTAGTAATCTTCCCAGCTAAAGCATAACAAACCCTGCCAGTTTTAATTCACTCAAGTTTTACCAAATCTATGCTGAGCTCTCATTCAACATGTAGGGTGAAATTCTGGGCCTGATGTGGGCCTCTCCATCAATGGCAGCATTTACACCGAATTCATTGGTATGAATTTCTCCATTAGATTATTAAGTAACAAAATATATTTGATAAAAGGAAATGGTGGCATTTTACCTGGCCTCCTGTGAGCAAGCAACTGAGGACTAATGACATTGTCTCCTGGAATTATATATTCATAATGTATACCCGGGTTAGGCTGCTGATGTATCATCTAAAAAGAAAACCAGCCATACATTGAGTTCTTCCACTTGTTATGTTACTAATATTTAAATATCAACTTGAACTAATCAACTACATAATGTTATTTATTACTGGTTGGGATAGAAGCAATGGTTAATGACTACCTCCAAAAAATGCAAAAATAAGAAAATACAAGTTACTGTTTGCAAAGAAGAAAATACAAGTTCCTATGTTTGCAAATTGAGCTAGCTTCTGATGGCAGAGAAACTGTTTGTCTAAATCTTCTTTGAAAAAGCCAAGACTGCCATGCCTGGGGCCAAGGTGTGCCTGTGGGCTGTGGCAGCTACAGCCTCCCCCCTCAGCAAGGGGAGCAGCAGAGGCTCACACCAGGCCTCAGCAGCACAAGAGATGGTCCTAAGGTCATCAAAACAGTCTCAGACAGCAGGAAGTTGACAGATGCCTAAGGAAACAACAGCAAAGAGGAAAAAAAGCAGAAAAAACCAAAATACCACAACCCCCAACCCTACACATGCAGCCTTGTGCATTTTTAAAGGTTCCCCAGTGGCTCGAGGAGAGACCTGCAGACAGCACACACGTGTCACTGCACCCATTGCAAAGCCAGCTGCTCCTTCCTGCACCCTGCAGCTCCCTCAGCACCCACGGAGCCCCAGCGATCCAGCAGCTCCAGCTGGGCTGTCCTGCTGCCCTCCCCACGAGCACTGCTCTGCAAAGATCAGCGAGCAGACCCCACAGGCCCATGGACTTGTGCAGCGGCTGCAGATGGCCTGCAGCCCTCCTGCAACCTTCCACATGCATTTCCAAATGAACAAAGATGGAACACAAGTGCAGCCAGACTCCTGCTGCCTTAGCAAACCACAAATCTATCAACGTGTTCTTCATGAAACACAGGCAGGAATCAGAAGGTTTTCTCCTTTAAATGTGAAAATGAAGCTCAAAGATTTCAGAATGCTGCTGCACAAGCCCACGTGAGCTGACAGGACCGTGACTCTGACAGTCCCTGTTACCCTGGGTGTGCTTGTTTAAAGTTGTGCACAGTAGGACCTGAGAAAGATACAACTTTAGGACAGTTTTTTAAACTGTTAGCAGCACACTCCATTCCCAACTGACTTCTACTGCATTGCTGCTCTGAGCCTGACCATACCCATACTACAAATGCAGGGGTGCCATGGGCTGCTAGTCTCACCACTTCAGCTCTGATCACTTCAGTACTGCTACTACTGACACTTCTGCTTTAGCCTGAACTCTCTGTGGGGATTAGTCTGATAGAAGCCTCAGACTATGCTCAAAGTACCTTTTAAAACCAAAACAAATCAAACTGGAACACAAACAAAAAGCCCAAAACAACAAACTCACAAGCAAACGCCAGAGCTTGCTCTGGTTCTTTGGCTCTCATGACCATCCATGGACCTAAAAGTAAAAAATCCTGCTGTCCTAACGGCCCAGTGACCCAGCAGAGGACAGCTAACAACTTCAAGGCTTCACTAAATTCACATCTATTAATACCAACTAGGGATTCAGACTTTTGTTTTAACTTATGTCTAAATCACTCTTTCCTTGCCAAATATAATAGCTGTTCCTCTAAAGCTGTCCCTCAGAGAGCATTCACTTTTCTGAACCATCTAATAACGCACTGCCTGCAGTATTTTTTTTTGTAAGGTTGGGTCCTTCCAATGTCACTTTCTTATCCAAAAAATACACCCTCTTTGTGGTCCTAAGAGAACCAAGAACTGTAAACTGGCTTCAGCAGTAGAGTACACTTCCAGAACCAGGACCCTGTTCTTTAGATGATTCCAGGAACAACTTCTCAGTGGTTCCCATGTGGTGGTTTTTCCATCATATTTCTCAAAACAACTGAAAGGCTTATTTTAGAGAGACCTTAACTGATGAAGTCCCTAATTAGTATATTGTTCACTTTCCGGCAGGAAAATACCTGAAATGATAGAACAGTTCTGCTTTGAGTTAGTGGACCTAAGGTCTTTGTAGAAATGTATATTTCACACTCAGACAGTGTTTCTGTCTTTTTCTTGTTAGCTATAACCTCCTGTAAATCAGAAAGCTTTTTACTTGACATTTCAGAGTGGAAGAAAGACAGCATGATCTAAGGAAAACAGAACAGAAAGCTATTTGGAGTTCCCATCTGCAAATCTCTTCATTTTTCTGCACAGAGCATAAAGATCATGAGCATGGGTGAATGGAGAATTACACGACTCAGGCACTGTAAGATGAAGTCTGAAAAAAGACATCTGTATCTGCTTGGCTACACATTTCAAACCCAGGAGAGAGGCTGTGTCATACTGAGCATTGATTTTCTTGCATCTAGCAGTATTCACCTTTATCTTCCCACACTACATTAAAAAAGAGACTAAACTATCATCTCATACTGAATTGCAGTATTCCTCCTATCAACAAGAAACATCTCAGTTGAGAATCAAATCAGAAATTGCAGTCCACAGCAGCAGCCACAGAACAAAGCTGGTAAAGCTACATCCATCGTGGCAGCTTTTTTACAGTCCCTAAGCTTAAACCAAAACATTACAATATCAAACATCTAAACAAACATTAAACAACATCAAAACAGAAGGCTTTTTTATGATATTACTTTGGAAATGTCTGTTTAATCCACTTCCTAACCCTTTTCTCTCTGGGTTCCTATGTACTATGTCATAATTAATTGGCTGAAAATAAGAACTCAGGGCCAAGCCTCAACTCACAAACTCTGTAACTGCACAATGACACAAACATCTGAAAAACACAGAGTCTGCATTGCACAGTTTAGGAGCCCAATTGTTTATTTTTCCAGCCTTTTCCCACTCATACATTACAATCAATTGGGAAATAAGTTTGGATCAGTTGGACTAGGTGATCTAAGAGGTCTTTTTCAACCTTAATGATTCTAGTGTTAGCATAATTATTACCTTGCTTTATTAGACACCATATAGCAGATGGGAATAACTTTGCCAACATCTAACTTTTCCCAGCTTAGTAATCAGGTGTCTTAAGTTGAAATGTAGTTACTATTAATTTTTCTATGAAATTATCCAGCACATTCACTTTTCCACCTCATTGCACTCAAGGACAAAAAAGCCACAGCTGGATAAAAGAATCATATATTCAGTTAATCTAGTTTTTTCAAGAAATGAATTTTACTGTGTGGGAGTGTATAATCTCAGAACAGACCATTTATCTTGGAAGAAGTTGTAATCAATTCCAGTTATATTTTTTATTTCAGTATGATGAACTAAAAACCCATCCCATCTGAAGTAAAAAGTTTTCTCAATATGATTTCTCCCTCTTCCACATAATTTGTCTTCTTTCTTCCTTTCTCAAATAGCCATTATCTATGGTCTCCTATCACAGCTTCATATTAAAACTGCCCTGCTTCAGTCTTACATTCTATAGGTCTATGGACTTGTTTCTTTTAAAGGAAACTGAGATGGTGAGATGCCTTGTCTGGCTTAAGTATCTGCTTCTTCACTGTAAAATTTGACTATGCCAAATTTGTTTCAATAGGAAAGTATCCAGAAAAAATCCAGTTCACAAAAGAAATGCCTTGGACATTTGTATGCCTTATTTCTACTTTACTGAACAAGTTCTATTGCTTTGCCTGGATCAGTTAAGTCTGAGAGAAAAAGGCTTCATTTAGATTTCATATGATCTGGACCAAAATGGAAACCACAGCAAACCAGTGTAAAATATCAAAAGTAACATTTCAAAATTAAAGTAACAAAGTATTGGTACCGAATACCATTTTAGTGTTGCATATTAACAATGAACTGAACAATTTCTTTTCCATCAGGAAGAATAATTTAAATACTAACTCACATAGACATCAAGGACTTCATTTGTTGGCCCATCAGCTAAAAATGACTCCCCTGCGGTGCTGGAGATCTCATTGGGGCGTCTGTAAGTGAACATTGTCCCACCACCTTCGTACCTGCCCGGGCGGTCGATGGCCCAGTTGCCATTGATGATGGAGCGTCCCGAGCGGCTCCGCAGCGCTGCAGGGGAGACACAAACACAGGCATGGGGTCACAGGAAAGCTCCTCCCCACACTGCTGCCCCATCAGCTCCCACAGCTGCACACAACACTCTCAGCTATTCCTGATGCCAGGGAACAAAGCTGGTGAAAAGAACAGTTGTATTTGTAGTTGTGGGGAAAAAAACTCAACAAACCAAACACAAACCGATCTTAGAAAACTGTCTCAAGACTTTGTTTATGCTACAGGAAAAGAAAGAAAAATCAAAGACAGCTTGGAAACCTTTTTCAACAGCTTCTGCCATATGGCCACGTGACTCTCAGCCAGCCAGCAGCACACACAACACACATGGATGCCAAGGAAGTGGTTTTCCTGTATTCTTCCCATTGCATGGACTATTTTGTGATTTAGGCAGAACAAAACCCAGAGTCATATACAGAAAACCAATGCATTACACAATGCAGAAGGACCAAACAATGTAGGGGCACATGAGTACCCTGAGGTTGCCAAATGTTCCTGTTATTCTCCATGAAGCCCTCTGGCTGGTCCCTCCACTTCCTTTTCAGAACAAGATTTTTTTGTTAGAACATCTGTAAGGTCCTGACCCTGCAGCACTGCTTGGAGTGCTGAGCATTCTGAAAATGCCAGTAGGATCTCTTGCATAAAAAAAAGTGACTTGCAAATCAGTACCAGGCAGGGATTGATAAAATATGGATTCAATATCCCACTGGGCAGTGCATTCCCTTTGTTATTATGGGCAAGTCACTGGTTTGGTGACATAGAAGCCTCTGTTCCTTGTCATTCCTACTTTCTTTATCTGTCTATGTGACTATAATTTTCAGTCCTTAAGGTCAGAAACTCCTGCCACGTGTACGTGCATGATTTATGCAATATTACAGTTGCATTATTAAAAAAAAAAATCTATATTGAGGCTGAAATCCTATCAGATATTGCTTAAGTACACAGGAACAAAACAACCCTTTCTCTAAAGGCTCTACTCATTGCTCTACTCATAGATTTTCAATTTTATTACAAAAGAATTTGCTTTTAAATAAGAACTTTAAAAGAGACAACAAAATCTAGTAATACCCTTGACTGTATCGTGGTCAGTAATTTACTTTTAAAATCCAAATTGAAGGTACAAGCTTTGAACTTAATGAATTTAAGGTCAAGGACCCAGTTATTCCAGCGACTGCTTCTTCTTCACCCAGTCTCAACAACGGTGATACTCAGCTAAAATGCTTTCAACATTACACACAACCATTTATGCTACTAGGAAAAACTTACATGCATGGCCTAAATGATGGGAAATTAAATTTATGCCCCTAATTCTAAAATAATACACATTAGAGACAAAACTTGTCGTTTGTACATATTCCAGACATCTGAATTAACTTAACTCATCAATAAAAGCAGGACTGCTTTGCTGCAGGACTCAGAACAGAATGTCCCGTGAGAAGGACAGTGACACTCTCTTGTGTTGTTAGGCTGTAAAATTCAAAATCTTTTGACTTGGAGGGGCTGCTGCTGACCACCCAACTATTTATAATTTGCTTAATATTAGTGAAATATTTTTATGAAAGCAAAAATGCCAATAAAGTTAATGGCTTTGGATCAAGATCCTGTAAACGCAATCACACATTTTTAATTTTTTTTTTTATTTTACTTAATGCCACATGTTTATTTTCCCAAGAGCTGCCATACATCCACTTGCTTCCCAGGCCTCATTTACAGACATTCCAACAAAACAATCTCTATACTGTGGATATTAGTTGAAAAATATTTTATACAATATCAGCCATGAAAATGGCCTCATCATTCCTCATACCATGCTGAGAGGAAAAAGTACAGCTCAAAAATATTGCATACAGGTTAAATAGGAAATCAAATCACATTATTTGCTTGCTATTTATACACTATTTACATTTTTTTACTTTTTAATTCAAAGAACTATGGTTTAAACACTTCTCCAAAATGTATTGGAGACTGATTTTGCATTGGTTTATTAATGTGTGACACTTCCTGAACTTTATGAGCTGAGTATTTTTTCTTAGATTGATGCTAAACAAATAAGAGAAATGAATCATCAAGAGCACAAGAAAAAAAGAGAACTGGCTAAGATTAAATTATTATTAATAATGAAGCTGTAGAAAGATGGCTGTCTGAAAAACTGAGTGCACATTAAACTTTCATTTCAAATCCATCATATGACAGATTTGAAAGAGGCCTCTCCATAAAAAGGGAAAATGTGCCTCTTTTATGTTTTGATCACTCTGCATCCACCACCTCAACTCTGCCCCCTGAAGAATTTTTATGGTGCTAATATTTTTAGCCAAAGCATGAAAGATTATGAGAAGCTTTACCATTAATTCCTCATGAGGAATTCCTCATGCAGGCTGTAGCTCATTTAATCTATCTTTCATCTTGGAAATGGCTTTTAACTGAAACTGTGTTGTTTACAGCGGCCTTCAATAATGTTTTGCACTAGTGATATGGATTATTTCAGGATACAAATTCTGATTAACTTCTCCATATTAGCAGTTTGATATATATATTTTAAGTCTCTTGCTGAATGACCCTTATTTTTCTAACCATATCTGAAGAGAAATATTTTAGGTGTGGATGTAGTACCTCACTATTTGCAGCACATTTTCACTCCAAATAGGCACAGTACCAATAATGAAATGAAAGTTCTTAAATCTGGCAACAGCACTAATATGCAGAATAATACAGTACATTTTTCTGTCCTAAGGCTTTTCTGTCTGGGAGAACAGTGTCCTAAGTCCTACTTAATTGCTTTACAAGCCATAATAAGGCTGTAGACATACAGAATTAAGTTCTTTCCCACATGAAGTGTCTTTCATTTGGTGCTGAGCCACAGAGGGTGGAACAGGAAGCAATTCCTCTCTCTGGGAAGAGGCTGCAGCCTTGCAACTGCGGCCAGTGAGAATCCAGTCAAGGCTTGGCTGCTGAAGTCAACTGCAAATGTCTCACTGGTGATTTAATCCCAGGAACCTTGACAAGCTGCAGATGCACTCAAGGTGCAAGTCAAAGATTGAAAAGACATCATAAATTGTTCTTGGATACAGATCCTCAACAAAGGCACTTGAACAGGCAAGCAGGTGAGATGGATGGGGCTCTCAGGCTGCATTTGCTTTGCAGCTGCCAATCAAAACCAAAGCATCTTAAAGGCAAAGGCAACTGTCTTATTATTACACCATAGGCACAATTTTTACTTGACATATCACATTTGAAGCATTTTCTTTGTATTTTATTTTAACAAGCTTTTAAAGATTTAATCCTGCTGCTGTTTAAGTTGAATTAAAGTGCAAGAATGTCTTGGCCATACCAGCTTTCTATAGAAACAACACTTTCCCAGCACCTTTCAAGAAAGTGCCCAGATAGAGCCGCAGTAAATAATCAGACTACTTCTGAGTAACCACTTTGATGAAAGAAGTGAAAAAAGCATGTGACTCCTCCTGTTTATCTTTCCTGTATAAAAATGCATTCTATGGAACTTTCAGAAACAAATCTAAAATATTCACATACTGCATCATAAAATCAGCATAGGGTGGTGCATCTTGTACGACCAAACCCCACAGCCAGCCTTTGGTGACATCTCCTGTGGGGTAAATCAGTTGGCTTCATGGTACAAACCATGAGGAATATAACAGGAAGGGAAACTTGGAAGGGACAGACTTGTTGGAAAACTGCAGCAAATGGAAAAGTCCAGAAAGTGGAAAAGTCCAGCAAATGCACTGAGCTGGCCTTTAACTCCAAGCAGCCATACCCACAGCCTGCTGACCAGCTGCCACACCAGTGCAACTCCTAAAACCAGTGGCTACTTCTGAATGCACACAGATTGTAAAACTCTCTTCTCCAAAAGGACTCGAAGACAACATCAGACATTAAAAAAACCCAAAACAAACGAAAACTTCCAAAAAACTATTCAGTGCCACAAAACACAGCCTTGCCTTCATGCCTGTCAGTCTTGCAGGATGGAATACACAACACCTGTTAGGTCACTAAAGAGGGAGCACATGGACCACAGTTTAGAAATACTCTAAGTCACAGCACACAGCTCTAGGCTACTTTTAAAGTACCTCTCCATAACGAGGAAAAAAGCCAAATGCCTAGAAAATTCAACAATAAACAGTTTTAAAATAATGAAATATTCATTCGTTCAAGTGTATTCTCTGAAAAAACTCCTTTTCAGAAGCATAGATATTGGCTGATTATTTGAACACACCTTAGTTAAAGAAGAAATTTAAAGAGAAATTTGGCACACTTCTCATGAACTGAATTATCTATTATTTGCCTCTGAATTTTTCAATTCAAACTACTATTGAGATCATGGCAAAGCTCCCACAGGACTCTGATCTTAATTCAAGAAACATGAGTAGGGCTCAGATCTCAAGATCAGCAAGAGTCAAACGATTTTAACAATGTGATCCTACAAACCCCTTATTTCGGAGCCAATGGAGGATATTAGAAAATGGTCAGCAGGTCACTTACTGGCCTTAAATTAGGATCAGATTGTATAAAGCAAAACTCAGGGTCTCTGCAGGTTGGACACCTTTACCTCTTGCACTGCATTTAGCTTCTTCAGTGGCAACCAAGACAGGGTAAGGGTACAGATCTGTAACAAAAAAGGGGCATCTTCTAACAGTGCACAGCTGAGACAAAGTGTTCATGAACTGCCAACCATTTTGGAAGTTCAATGCCATTACAGGTCACTTTAACTGTGTCACAAAGGATATGGACCAGAGAGTGGGACTCTCCACTAAGAAATGCTCTATGGCCTTACATAATCCTAATGCAAAACAGTATTTTCTAATACAAACTTTTAAGACAAAACCCCTCCGTGTATACTTCCCCTATTCTTCAATCCAAGAAGGACCAGGAACAAACACAAAAGCATAATACATCTTGGAATATGTTTCTAAGATCCTGAAACCAGGAGTAAATTGGATCCTGTAGTATTTCCAATGCTTTTTCAAAGCCTAGGAATAGAACTTCCT